GTTTCCATATTTTGAGCCGCTCAGGCCAGCATAATGGACTTTCACTTTAGTCTCCAACTGACTGGTGACAGCGCTTTAAAATTCACTGCTGGACACGGCAGCAGCAGCAGCACCACGCCGTCTCTAACCAGTAAAACTTTATTTAAAATGTCTTTGTGTTAAGGCCTAAACACATATTTTTCTGTGCCGTATATTTACCGTAACTCAGTCGTGTTTTATGTTTATTTTTGCCAGGAACCAAAGAGAGAAAAGCAACAATCCGTGACATTAATCTGTAATAAATATGAGAACATAAATGAGTACGAGCAGCAATATTCAACATCACTGCACCACCTCAAGTAACTCTTTTAAAATACAAAGAATCTCTGGGAAGTGCAAAAGCAGAAACATGACACTGACAGCAATGACTGGACATAAAATATACAGATTTTTGTAAAAAGCACAACATAATTTCCCAGAAGCCAAGGTGATGTGTTCATATGTCTGTGTTGCTGTAACGTCTCACATTGCAGATTCTCTGGAAGTGTTTTTGCTTGAAAGATGACTAAAACCGTCGCTGATTAATTTTCCGCTAACAAACTATATCCGTAATTTTAGCTCTACTTGGAGCATTCCTAAAAGTATATGTCCGTCAAACTATGATCCAATACTTCGACCCGAGAAACTTTTCCTTCATGCTTCATCTGTCTTCTCTTACAAAACACCCCCAGTATCATAACAAAACCAGCTGCACCACTACACAGCTCATCACATAACACAGACTGTCAGAGGTATTGAGCTGGTGCAGCACACAGAGCCATGTGCAAGCAGGGACAAAAAGTGAAGGTGGAGCTGTGTGTTCAGGCTCCCTGGTCACCTGGTGGAAAGATCTGAGCCCGGGGTTCAACTCATCCATCCAAACAGGAACACTGTGCAGTTTGGGAGATGGATCTGAAACTAGACAAATCCATCAACGGCTCAGTGGGTACTTCCTAAATATAGGAGCAAGAACGGAGACACTCCTGAAAGTCAAACCAAATCTTGTGTAAACAAAAGTGCCTGCTTTATCTCAAGGCCGCCAATTCGCCTTCCAGGGCCGCATCAAGTCATGGTTTTGAAAGGTGTTGTATAAAAATGTAAAATACAATGTAATGCCCTTTTGTCTCTGCTCAGTGTCTACGTGGACCATTACATTACCTCTGCTTAAAATAGACACAGCCCCCAAATTCACACTACAGTGGGAACACAGGGACTCTGTCAGGTCTGAACCATGTCCCATGTGGAGCTCCCAACTACAGTTCTCACAGGGAAATTGACTTATGGGTTTCTCTAAATAATATTGAGGCCCAACATCGATACACTATCTGTCAGCTACTGAATTAGTCTGCGCCAAAAATAGAAAACCAAGTAAAAATAGTCTGATCAACAATATCGAGCTGGTTTCAATTCTCTCTCCCGTAAACAACCACAGCCTCCATGTCAAATTAGTTGTTCCGCTTGGAAGTCAACCGGTGACCCAGTCAAAATGAGCTTTTCCTCTTTTCCCCTAATCAAAAGTCAATAACAAATGACTAATATCAGACAGGGGAGTCTACAGTATCAGTGCAGATTGCATAAGCCTGAACCGAGCTGTTCTGTCTGAACCGAGTGGTGATTACTAAAAGAAGAAACAACCCAAATCCACACAGAAGGACATGAATTCTCAATAATAATAATAATAATTAAAAAATGCAGGTTAACATCCTTTTAAAATCTTATTCTATGATTTCAAAACACGCAGATTCTCTGGATGAGCCAGAACTCGAGCAGTCGAGGCCTCTGTGCTGTTTGTGTAGTTCACAAACTGGCCTCCGGGTGGCATCCCTTCGCTCCTGCTGCACGCAGCCTCTCTTCCACACTGACCCTGCCTGCTTTTAGCAGCTGGGTTCCCATGGCAACCCCAGTCGGTCCATACCACTCCTCTCTCCCTCTCTCCCTCTCTCTCTCTATCCCCCTGTCTCTTCCTAAGCCAGGCCGCTCTTGTATCCTTCCATTCCCAGACTCTCCCATACATCAACACAAAGCAGAACCGTGCTCGGTGCTAGCTTCCTACATTGTATGTGTGTCACTGTGTGTGTGTGTGTGTGTGTGTGTGTGTGTGTGTGTGTGTGTGTGTGTGTGTCTTTGGTGGGAGGGCACAGCAAATTTAGGCTTATGAAGACAGATTATTTTAGAGTGCCACCGTCTCAAGCACACAACCAAAAATAAGTCGACTTTTCGGTAAAGGGGAGGATTGTAATGTGTAGTCTGAAGCATGTGAGGAGAGACAGTAAAAAGTTAGCGAGCTCTTGTCGCAACCTGACAGACGCAGAGTCAGCTGTGATGAATTTGACAGGCAGGGTTATACGAGTTGAGGGGGCTGAACCGTGGGGATAATTGATAAGGATATTACAAGTCACGTAGCAGTCAGTAGGGGTCCCGTGAGATGGGCCTGGCTACGGTAATGCACACTGGAAAATGACACTTTATGGCTGCGAACTGCGGTGATGTTGTGACGGCTTTGTAGCAACCCTCCGTGGAGAAAGCGAGACATCCTCCACCCCCCAAAAGTAAAAGAAAAGAAAAGAAAAGAAAAGAAAACACACAGCAGCTTTATGCACCGGGATGCAACTAGTCAACAAATTACCACGGTAGCTTCGTCTGTCATTCGTGTTATAGATCAGTGGAAATGGATCTGCAGTGATTTGATGTGTTGGTGATTAGTGGGATATCTGTACAGAGTAATGAGTGCACAGTGTCGGTACTTTGCCAGTGAACAGGTGAGAACAGCAGGGTCAGAGGAGCAACACAGAGACTGCAGATTATTGCACTAAAAAAAAATCCCGAACTAATAAAATCCACTGATACACCATCACTTCCTTCCACCTTTATACAGCTCTAAGATGTGCAAAACATATTATCACAATCTTCCTTTCAACTCAAAATGAAGTCCTCTCTACTTCCTGAATGTACTGGACTAGAAGTGGCAAACCAAAGTAACCAGAGATACTGGTTTTGTGAGTTTCATGTGTTAGCAAAAAGCTAGTAGAATTATAATTAATGTCTTTGAATGTACAGGGTGACAACGTGTACGTATGCTGCTAGTTTATATATATTACGGTCAACAATCAACTACCCTACGTCCAGGGTCATCAAATTCTTTGTTTTGTCCGACCACCACTCAAAAACCTGAATATATTTAGTCTACAATTACATACAACAAAGAAAAGCACCACATCTTCACAATCTGGAAGATGTAACAACAGAATATTTGTCTTTTTTTGCTTTCCTTAAAGGATTTGTTGGTTACCAAAATCTTCTGTTGATCGACTAATCGATTCATTTTAGCTCAAGTTGCTGGTGTTTGTGCTGCAGCACAAAAAGACAAACAGCAAGTAACAAGTCACAGAGGAACGTTTAAGTACATTACGCCTTTGTTTAACTTGTAGCAGCTGTAAAAACACATCAGGTGTGGACTGGAATTAAATTTCTAAATAAATATTGCTTTAGAGTACAGTATCCCTCCCAAGGAACCACAACTCCATACAAAGAGGAACTGGATGTTCCCCTGACAGAGCATATTCTTTTGCCAGGACACTTTAAGATGGTGTTTTTATCTGTCTTCATGATTACGAGAAAGCTCCAGCATGTTGAGGGGTTGAGAATACCAACAACAATTAATCATCCAACCAAATCGCCGAACCGTGGTTTGTGCTGGAGCCAAATGTTTGCTTTAGTTAGCCTCCGAGCTACCTCCTTCAGCCTGGCCTGATGAAACAGCCAACAGCTCAAACTGTCTCGGCAAACAAACCGCTGTCACAGGAAAAAAAAAATATATATAAAAGGTTTCTAAAAATAGCTTTGTGCCCCCTTCTGACCACATTCCACAGGAGGTGAAAGTTGAGGCTTGTTTGACTAGTGGCCGAGGTGGAGGGAGACCTTTTGCCTGGGTGTGGCTGGACACCGCTAGCTGCTAGCCTCACTGCTAGCCCGGCCTACAGGCTACACAGCCTGAGCTCCAGTACACAACCAGGCCAAACCCTGAGCAAGCGCTGAGGGATCGAGAGCCCCATGTGATACAAAACATGCTAATGTCAATGCTAAACACACGTGGTCATGTGCTTTCTGATGGATTCTGCACGGCTCCAAGTCCACTGCTGCTCACTGTGATAGGCCGGCTTGGAAGCAACAGGGAGACAGTGTGGAGCCGGGAGCCCCCGTCATGATTAGACAGCAAAATGTCTCCTCGCGTGTCAAACCCCGCTTTGATCAATTCAGCTCTGCTCTGCTCCCCCCCCCACTTCTCTCTCTCTGTCTCTGGCAGAAATGGTTGAGCTGTGTGTCTGACTGTGTGTGTATGTGGTATGTGTGGTGTAGGGGGAGACAGAGCGAGCAGGAAAGCATATGGGTGCATTCATACACTCGCGATGATTTGTTTTATGTCAGGGCATTAAGAGAAGAGAAGGTATGGCCAGGCAGTGCGTAGTCGGCCTCACACAAACACACACAAAACCAACACAGAGGCGTTTTGTGTCTCACCTTCTGCTACTGACCTTCCCTTTGTTTACAGCGCATTGCCGGGATACTCCCTTTGATTCGGCTGCGCACACGTGACCCTCCGCCAGTTTCTGCTCTGCAGTGCTGCTGCACTAAAAATAGCCTCAGCTTGCCCTGGCTCCACAGCTAGTTTACATAAGCTCTAAGGGGGGGGGGGGGAGGTGGAAGAGGAGGGGGAGAAAAGGGAGCGACAGAGGGGGGAGAGAGAGGAGGGGGAGCCTCAGTGAAGAGAGAGAGAGAGAGAGAGAGAGAGAGAGAGAGAGAGAGAGAGAGAGAGAGGAGGAGGAGGAGGAGGAGGAGGGGGGTCTATGGACGACCATTCCACAATCTCTGAGCAGGGAACCTGCAGCGCCACTGCTGTCCTCCAGCAGTCTGTGCCTTTACACTCCTGGTCAACAGCAGGGTGTGTGTGTGAGAGAGAGAGAGAGAGAGAGAGAGAGAGAGAGAGAGAGAGAGAGAGAGAGAGAGAGAGAGAGAGAGAGAGAGAGAGAGAGAGAGAGAAAGGTATGTGTGTGTGTGTGTGTACTGTATGTGTGTGTAGTCGGCACACAGTAACAGACTCGCAGATATCCGCCATTCACCAGCCTCGCTCTGTGTCTCTGTCTGTCCTTTAAAATGGACGCACATTTTAACCCAAAAATAAAAATCTATTTATAGATATGATTCCCCTTCTTTAAGTGGAACATAAAGTCCAGTTTTCTCTCTGCAACGCTGTTCATAGTGAACATCAGAGGGACACAACTAGCAATTAACACAAACCTACAAACAATCTAAACGTGACACAATTCGTTCACAGGGAGAAAAAAAAAAAGGCATTTGTGGTAAATTATTATTTAGGTTTTTTTCACATATTTTGATTTAGATTTTGGATCAACTATTCAAAATGTACCCCCTTTTTTTTTTTCTATGGAGCAGTACTTGCTTTTCAAATGTGATCAAACTCATTGACTAAACTAAATACAGGCTGTCAGAGCCTCTGGTCTCTAGAAACAAAATAAAAACACACTGGCAGTGTAGCTAATCTTGTGACATGTAGCATGCTATGCTGGGCAGCTTTAGGCTCTCTTAACTGTTTCCAAATGCCGAGGCGGGCTGAGAGCTTTCTAAACCCGACATCCACAACTTTAAAACTTCCACAGTACTTTAAAAACACTTAACTAATGGACAGAAAAGGCCATTAACAGTTACAGTAACACTAAATATCTGGCCCTTACTGTTAAACTTATTAAATGTTAAATGATGTCTTTAAAAAAAAAGGGGGGTTTACACACACACACACACACACACACACACACATATACACACATATATACACACACACACTTGAAAAGGCTTCATATAGGGAATGACATGTGTTCTCATGTGTTCAGCAACATCCTCTCTGCTGTCGCTTTCTGGCCTCAAGAGAGGACTTAATAGATAGACTGCGAGCGAGCGAGAGAGAGAGAGAGAGAGAGAGAGAGAGAGAGAGAGAGAGAGAGAGAGAGACAGTCAGTCCCACAGGGGGCTCTAACAACCTTAAGGACAGTGGTTTGTGTAGATAGAGTCCCACTGAGCTTCCAGTAGATCAGATTCTACAGTTCAGCTCGAAACCACTCCTTCCTTTTCCTCAGAAATCATGCACACAAACACACAGCTACACACTCGCAGATACATTCAAAGCACGCACACACACACACAGACACACACACACAGACACACACACACAGACACACACCCCACACACACACACACTTCCATAGTGCCCCCTTTGATTATTCCTCAGTCAGCTGACAGCAGGGTCATCTGATTTTAGCAAGCGACACAAAGGTTTTTGTTAATCTGGATTAAGGCCCTTTTATGATTCTTTTTTTTTTTTTTTAAATGAAGAAACTAGGTAATTATTTACAGCTGTATAGTTATAATTGTGACAGTAAACATTTGAGTTAACATAATTGATTGTCTTGTTAAAAAGGCTAAAAGCACAAGCACAGAATTTACTAGAAATAGATGAAAGAGATTTAATTAAGTGAACTGAAACCATTTAGGCTATTTTTAAGAGTTTGTTTACAGAAAGTGGCCAAAGCAGTCAACAGCATACCAAGGAACAGATAAATATTAATAGTTTTAAAATGCATGCAATGCAATAAAATACATCAAATTGGTGCTGTTTCACAAACGTTTGGAGGACTACTTTTTACTGCTTTTGCTAGTTATGTGTTTGATTTTTGCTCTTTGTTACACAATCCATCATTTTTGAGTGAAGTTTGTGAAACCTAATCCAGACTCAGACCAAACAAACTTGTTTTCCTTCTTTCTTTCTTTTAGCCACTAAAAAGCTAAGAATTTCAGAAATCTCCATATTTGGTCATCATTGTCAGGTATGGAGTCTTCTCCTTATCAATCAAGTTAACACCATTGACCCTACAGACCCTAACAGCAGCTTTGTGCTTTAATAGATGCATAAAAACTCAAACTGTAACTTCAGCTCTTGTTCTCAAACTATGCTAGCTCTAACCTGGACAAAACAATACTGCCCATGAAGGTTTAACACAATTTAAAATGCTGCTCTGGCTGTAGTGAGACAAAACAGCCCTCGCAGACAATCCATTTCTTATGCCTTAAAAGTAACCTGATAATAATAAAGTTATTACACAGATCAGTTCAGACATGTAAGAAGAGCCCGGGCCCCGTCACAATCAGCCTCATCCGTCGGTTTTATACTGTGCACATCACATCGGCTCAAACATGAAGAAATTGAAGCAACTTATTGGTGACAGAAAAAAGCAGCAGTGACATGCAGCCGGTGTATAAATATCGCTCTCTCGGGCTCTTCCGTGAACAGAAGAGGCTCCTTATTGAGGAGAGCCACTGTTTGCGAAGCGTAGCCCCTCTGTTTCTGTAGGCCCTTCAGGGGCCGGGGCTGGCTGACAATGCCGGCCATTCTTAGCACTTTACTGCCTCAGATGACTGTGTCAGTGGCCCCCAGGCTGGTGACAGAGTCCCGTGACCAGCACTACACCCCAGCCCCAACCCCAGCCTCAGCCTAGGCCAAGAACCAGACCCAGCCTTAGATATGTCTATCCACAGTCCCATCTCCAGGACCTCGGGACTGCTGGAGATCTGCCCTCTCCCAACTGTACCTCTCAATCCCGGACCAACTGCACCACAGTGCGTCCTGACCTACGATGATCCTTGTAGATTTTAACATTTGGGTCCTATTTATAACTTCTTCAACCCTTGAGGACAGCAGATGAAGGATTTGGAAATATTAGTTCATAAAACACGATGTGACTATTATTTGTGAGACAATAGAAATAAATTCTTTCTCCTGATAGGAGGGATCAAACAAGGTGCTCAAAGTCCTTAAATACTGTATTTTTTTTTAAGCATAAACTCCAAACAGTGGTTCTGAACTTGGTTCCAGCTTCTCTCCAGTGAAGATTGTTAACTTAATATCTTTAGGTTTTGGACTGTTGGTCAGACAAAACAAGACATTTAAATGACTACCATGAGAATCTATGATAGACATTTTTCACATTTTATACACTAAATGATAATAATCACTAGTTGCAGCTCTACTGTATTTCACTAAATGTTTTTAGCATGACTTGTGACATTACAGGATTAAAGCAAAATCAATAAGATGATCATTAAAAACAACTTTCTGACTGACTCTACACTTGAGATTTACCAGAGGTTTTGCAGGTCAAAGTGTTGCAACTATTTCCAGCAGGAATGAGGAAAGGTTGTTGTCATTCACATCTTTTGAAAGTGTGTGAAATTGACACCCATTTTCCAGTCCACCCTGAGTAGCCCTCAATTCTCCTCAGTATTTGATCTTTGCCCCTTCTATTTAATCCTCATTAGGGTCAATGGCAGTGGTGTCAAAAGGCGTGCAATGTCTCTGGATGTCTAAAACAAGAACAATCTGACATTTGTCTCAGTAAGAAGGGTGCGCCGGGGCCAAGTCTCGTCTTCATGTATGTTTTGAGTACATGTGTGTATTTACTGCTGTGTGTGGTGTGATTACCATAAACTCTAAGGGATTGCGGGGATTAATAACCCGTAGAGGGATGATCATAGGGCTGCATAAAAGAGTAACATTTATAGTAGGTAAGGCAAGTGGGGCTGCTTCTAGCTGTTATTTTTATTATCAATTAATTGACACTTATTTTCTTAATTAATCGATTAATCATCCGGTCAATTAAATACCAGTAAGTAGTTAAAAAATGTCCAACACAATTTCCTGAAGCTCAAGGTGGCGTCTTCAACTTGTTCATTTTGTCTGATCAATGATTCAAAACTTAAAAGATATTCAGAGTACTGTCCCATATGACAAAGAAAAGCATCAAAAACACACTAGAGAAGCTGCAACTAGGACATGTTTGTCATTTAAGGTTTAAAAAATTATTAAATTTTCATATTTTGCTGATCAACTAATCAATTAGTTGAATAACTGTTTCACCTTGTTTGCAAGATATAAAATGTCTGGCTAAATTTTCCATATCTCATTGTTCTAAATCACTATATAGCGTCATGTCCCTCTGGATCAACAGCTATTAAATTCATTCAGGACATATGAAGCTGGCAAATTAAACTTTTCTTATCTGTAACACTTATCTCATCCTGCCAAACACTGAAAGCATATTGGTAAACTACACAGACCACAAAGCATTGTGCCTTAGACAAAAAGCATGGCGTTGGTCTTTGGGCCCAAACTGATCAAAGGGAGGCTACAGTTCAATATATTTGGAGGTTCATCATTTTAAAAAACAAATAACTTTACAGCATCTAAAGCAATCTCCGGCCTCATCATAAACTGCAGCAGTATCGCTCAGCTGTTTCATAGCCTCGTTTTCTTCAGTCACACTCCCAGACTGCAGCTCCAGCCAGGGCCGCTCTCTCCTCTGGCCCAGTCCCTGCTGCAGCAGCCACTGAGCACACCAACGCAGAGAGAGCTCCATACCAGCATCTAACACTGGATAACAATCATCCACTACAGGAAGAAATGCCTTTGTGTATGAATTGAATTGTGTCATATTTTGGACTGCAACAAACACTCCACCACAAAAAAAAAAAAAAAAAAAAAGCCAGCAGGCCCGGGAGTTCAGATTTGCGTGTGAAAAAGTGTTTGATTTTGCCGTTGACACATCCAAGGCATTGCAATGGAACCAGCCCGCCGCAGCTCAAAATAGCTCATAATCAATCAACTGGCAGACACATATCTGTGCTCTTAAAACGTATAAATGTGCAATGCAGAGGGCAGATCAATGGGTGACAGGATTCCAAAAGCATCGATATGGACATGCTCTTTGGCATAACAAGCGCTCGCCATCGGCCCGTACTTATTTCCTGTGCCTTTGTCCATTGGGCCGTCCAGCGTTAGGCCTGCTGGAAAAAATATCTGCCAGTGGAGCAAGGTCTGTGAAGGACAACACAGATGAAGTGGCAGAGGTATATTAATCTGCCTTCGTGAAATCTAAACACGACATATAGCTCAATCTAACCAAACTCTTCCTCTGCGATCTTGCGTGGTTAGTTTGTACAATACAATATATCTATTGTGTTTGACTGTTAGCATGTAAGGCTGCTGCCTGCCAATCTGTTCCTCCAACAAACAGCCGCATGTTGGCCAACTTCCTCTTTAATTCACTCTGTGAAAGCACCCTTATCACATTTGTGATCCAAGACGTAGCCTACAACACAAACACAAAAGTCTGTGGAAGTTCAATACCAAAATAAGAGAGAGCAGGTGCAGGGAACAGAAGTTAAAAGATGAAATGAAAGCTTCTTGGACTGACTACAGGAGTATGAGAGCAGGGTTGGGTCAGTGCTAGCTACGTTTTGACAGACCCTTATCTGAAGTTAGGAATAGCCAAAACAACAGACACAACAGACGTTCTCCAAACAATATAACGTGTTTAAATACAGCCCCAGTCTAAAGTTATGACCTCTGCTCCTTTACTTTCAACCCAGTTGGCTGTTGAAGCCGTCTACCACTGTTTTCCTACTTCCAGGATAGTCAGTGAGAACAGTCAGTGTAGTTTAGCAGTCATAATAACAATAGGTGTGTGTGTGTGTGTGTGTGTGTGTGTGTGAGCCTTTACACACGGACAGGTCTGCTGCCATGTAGGACAGAGTATCTATGAACGCCCTCCATCCACATAGTTCATACAGAGGTTAAAACTGAGAGAGGAAGTAAGTGAGAGGCCACGGAGTCTAACAAATTCCCAACGCCAATCAAACACACTGACAGTACAGACACATTGTGATGTTTCTACTCAACGGGGAGATTTGACTAAAAGTAAAAGGTACTGCACGTGTGAACAGACTTTCATGCTCCTGAAATAATGGTAGGTTGCTTCTGCTTTTCTATCACTGGAAACAGATGTTTTTAAGTTGTTTCCCAGAAAATTCAGAGCACTGAATCACACACACACACACACACACACACACACACACACAAGGAAAAGTGCTTGAGCAACAAAACACAACAACTACCAAAACAACTGAGCTGCTATTAAAGTAGGGAAAACTAAAAACTTCTGCCATATAAAAGTATGAGCCACTGCATGATTATTAACCAAATCAAAAACTAAAATCACAGTTTGTACATTTGTTCCAGATTAAGCTGTAACGTATTAACATTTTTTTTATCTCCTCTACACACACACTGTTACAGTAATATAATTTTTTTTTCAGCTTCAAGATGATTTATTGTTCAAACATACAACTGCTCACCAGCTGTTAACCAATCAGGAGCAGCAACGTAACAGGCAGAGAGGCAGTGATAGGAAGCCAGCGAGAAAGGCAGGAGAGGGAAGCAATTAAATGGAGTAAAAAAAAAAAAAGATATTGAAAAGGAGGAGGTTGGAAACAGGGAGGACAATTGGGACTTAAAACAAACAATTAAGCATCAGTCATTTGGCAGTATTTTGGGTTTGGAAGTGTAGATGTATCATAACTTCCATGCAAAAGAAAACGATCGAGTTCAAAACCAATACAATGCGCTGTAACACCAGAAACGTCACATATAAACCAGCACCACTCAGTTTAAATACTGTATGCTTTTCCCTGCCTTCATTTTACTCTGTGAATGTTTACTCATGTCACAGGATAGCTGTATTTTCAGTGCTTCAGTCAGTAGCAAGCCTCCGTGGTTTAACCTACTACAATACAGAATACTCTTTCAACATTCAGAAGACCACTGCATTAACAGCACTCAAAATGAAGAGTTTTAAATGTTTACGATACCACCATATTATGTGGTATCATTATGACACTGGAATACTGACTAAAGCAAACACAGGATGTTTTTTTTTTTTACATATTGTGCAGTCGTACTGCACACAGACAGGCTCAGAACAGCAAAGACAAACACAGGCCTTGGACTGGAAAAGCTCCACCTTACAGATTCATGTGACTCTCCAACCATCACCTGACTATCTCTCTCCTTTCTATGGAAGCTGCTTTCAGGCAGGGCAACCAGCAAAGACTTGACCCGAAGTCAAATTTATGTCCAAAGGAACGGAAGACATTCAGGAAAAGAGTACAGAGATTGTTTGTCTATGTGCTGTAACATCTTTAAAACATCTCAACACTACAACCATGTAACGCGGGCTCACAGCTCGCTGACAACAAGACAATATCCCCAGTCACTGATAAAGTGTGCCTTTGACCGAACCCGGAGAGATAAAGGCAGCCAACCTTTGGGATGGGAGGGGACAACTCCCAGCAGCCTGTACCATGTACATGTCCTCATATTTACATGTGAATCCAGAGGTGAGTCAGAGAGGAAGCAGAAGGAGAGCACTATAATCAGTGAGTCACTTTGCATATCCAAACTTCCTTTTACAGGCAGGAGAAGGGGGCCCCTCCGCTGTGTACAACCAGCACCCTAAAGGTGGCCCAAGGTACTCTCGGAGCCGTCCAAACAATCTGGGGCACCATGCAAAGAGACATCAGCTTCTGCGCCTTGCCACACTGAAGTTATCAGTATTTCCTAACTACAGTGTGTGCAGTACAATTGTGTTAGGACAAACTCTATACAGATTGTAGCCAAAATCAAATCATGACCCACATAGCTTTTGTCCAGCCTTAGAGAGACTGAAATGTAGTCTACCAACTCTCCACAAGTAGGTTATTACTATCACCGACACTGAAATAAGAAATGCCAACTTTAACAACAGCATTATTACATTTTTACAGTAAACAGTCAAAATACTGCTTCAATACAATTCCAAAGAATTCCACAGTTGGGCATTTTAATACAGGCCACACCAGGTTTTGCATATTGCCATGGTGAAATGAAGCTATATGTATAATTTTCCAAAGCCCGACTACAACTGCTGCTTGCCTTGCCACACCCAGAGTAAACATATCTCAGCCATATTCATATATGACACGACACCAGCACACACACACACACACACACTGCAGAGTTTTCACCTCAAGCAAAACACAAAGAGGACGGACAGAGCGCGGATACATTACAGCCGTATGAACAGCTGATTACATAATGTTTGTAGCAATCTTTTTGTAAACCTGCAAGTATCCAAAGCTCATACAAATCATATTAAAATTAATGTTTGAACTCACTATTGTGCACAGTCGATGAGCTGGTACTCATTGGACCTCTCGAAGCATGCCTTCACTCCTTCGTCGTCCCACAGCTTCTTTGCATGATCAAAGAACTCCTGAGGAAAAGAAGAACGGATATTAAGAAACAGACAATAGAGAAATAACATATATTAGACAACAAAACTTTAACATGGGAGTGCAATGTCATGATGGGAAGGTCAGAGGCCTTGAATTCATTGATACTGCTGAAGCACACTGCACAGGGTAAACCCACCCACAGTTACTTTATGAGCTTGTTTAAGTCCTCATGCTTTATATGTCCACATTTAATTAGTGTAACTGGATCTTGTCAAAATCATTCCCACTTAATTACCCAGTATCTATGTCTGTACCTTTTTTATATGTATTCTGTAGAAACGTAGTAAGCCACGTGTTCAGTAACTTACGACTAAGCAGCTTTTTACTTTTACTAAAAATTAAAAAAAGTCTTTTGAATTTGTACTTGTGCTGCCATGACGACTGGATAGCTAAATAAACCGAATGGAAAATTATATTGCCCATTTTGTAAACACATTTTTCCAAAGAAAACCATTCGGTCATATACACAGTTTCTCATCGTACACCGAGTACCACGCTTACAGTTACACACAGAACATACACACATCTGCACAACCACCGTCTTCCATCACAGAGCTGTTTAGTTTGAGCTGCTGCCTCGCTCACAATTAGTAGGATCAAAAAGAGTACTTAGAATATTACTCAGCAAGTATTAGTACTGTATTTACTTTAAGTTCTACATTTTGGGAAATGTGCTTGTTTGCTTTCTTAATGGGATTTACATGTCTGTACACAATATATGGAGCTAGAGTGAGGGATGTGTTTAGCCTCCCACAGGTTTGGTACTGTACCATCGAGCCTGTACAGTGAACTACACTAAAACCTCACAGACCCCATCGATCAACCTGCACTAATAGCCATGTTTTGCACATAAATGCAGATGATATCAGAAGTCATATGAATTATATAAGTAGATATTACTATAATACTTGCAAAGACTACAGTGACTCAGTTACAAATTTTCACATGAATGTTCTTCAAAGTGCTGGCCACTATTTCTTAATTTAAGACAGGAAAAGAGAGTCACATCAAAACTTAAACGTAATATCCTTCTCATTATGCCACAACAGTATGTTTGTAGGCAACTTGGTAAAGAGTTGTAAAGTATCTGAATGCAGTGCTGCATCAGGAATCTGTAAAAGTGAGTTTTATAATTCCAAAAAACAACAAGAAAAAGCTATTTAATACTGTATACAGTAACGTGAGTACGTGAGCAATTAGTTACACCTCTCTTGAGCTCTCATTCACTTCCCCCATACAGGTTTATCCAACAGTTCCTGAATCAAAACTCATGACTTTCTGGTCACAAGCTCTCTTCTGTAAACTGTAAGCTAAACACTCTGATACCATAACTTCAGGTGAAACTACAGAAACAGTTAATTACGTCTCCTAAAATATCAGATGTAACCCGCGCTGCTGCGGCACAAAATCCATCCATAGGCACGACGCTGTAAATGACTATACATAGTTTAAGAGGGAGCATTATATGGGGAACTCATCAAGGACTTTGAGACATTTCCCAGGACTCTCTGTATGCCCTAAACAAAGATGATTGGGCTAATATCCCTCGTCGCCTCCTGTGCACATGTCTTTTCAGATGGGCTCCTCCTCTAGCCTGGAACTACCACATGACTCTCTGCACTCAGCTCTGGCTCTGCGCTCTGGCTGGGGAGAGGGTGAAAGTAGCCCCGAACCAGAGAGAGAGAGGGAGAGAAGGAGCCTGATAAATGATCACATGCTCCGGGAGATCTCCTCTCGGCAGATCCGGTGATTAGTTCAACATGGAGGAAATCCACTGATCCAGTCTGCAGAAGTCTCACATACAGATACATTAACATTTGTTTACTTTTTTTTTTTGTTGCAGATGAATGTAGGCTCACACTTCAGACACAAGCCCGAAATAGCCTAAACACTGATGCTATCATGTTAGCTACGTTGACGTGCGGTCCACATATTAACACCATATATCAAAGTGTGATACATTAATCCATCGCTTTTTATTTTACAACCATGGCTCAGGTTTTTTTCCTGTAACAAAAGCATTTGACCGATACACCAAACACTTGATAAACAAAGAAAAATGGGGCCATATTTGCTTTCTTGCCTGTATTTGCTTCCATTTCTGTTACAGTCAAACTTTAACACCCACCTCAACTAATATCAATAAGATTCGACAGCGCTGATTACATTCTTCTGCTATTAGCTCTGCAGGTCTCGCCAAATTTTTTAATACCAGCAGACATCGAGGGGCTTGAAAACTCAAAAGAAGGGCCCGACAAAAGCTAGCAGGCGGTGGGACTGGATGGAGAGAGGACGAGGGGTGGAGGGTGGAAGGGGCAGAGCGGGGGGGGGGAGCAGAGTATGGTCCTCAGGGCTCTTTTCCACAGAGGCGTGTGACACTGGGCCTTTGAATAAATGCAGTGTGTGCTGCAGTGCCCTACAGAGGAACTGATAACACAGAAAGAGACCAGGAGGGAATTTGCTTTAACACAAGCTTTCTTAACTCTTTCCTGTAACTCTTCCCAGTCCACTTCCACACAACCCCCCCCCCTTCCCCCTCCTCCATCCTCCTCCATCACCAGCCATGAGATGCTGATTCTCTGCCGGCTCTGCTAGGACCATCTCTCAGCTCAGCCTTAGCTTCAATGTTAATCAAGTTGGGTGTGTGATGTAATATTTCACTTGAATCATATAGGTCAGACTGACACGGAGAACAAAATGGCCTGAATCGGATTCAACTTAGCAAAAAACAAAGTTGTGGAGAAAATGGCTTGCATCTTCCGTCACAAGGGGGACACTAGAATTCCTTTGGGCGAAAGTTTTGAAGAGACCTTTGGCCTTAGAGCAAAATGTACAGCAACGGGTACGAACCTCAAATCCCACCATACATAGACAGCCAGACAACCAGCTGGCTCCTCAGTACACCATCATCACCACATTTATTGGATTTGAATAGAATATCTGTGTTAGATAACAGTCGCCCAGCACAGAGAGACCTGACTTTCATGGGTTACCTCAGTTAAAGAGTGCAGACAAATTTAGCTAAAAAAAAAAAAAAAAAAGAGAGAGCAAAAGCGAAGGAGAGAAGGAGCGACTGTTCGAGACTGTTCATCTTTCATAACACGGTTCCAAAAACGGAGCAGCCCTCCGTGCCACCCTTTGCCCCACATTGCGGATCCTCAAGTAATCAATTAGAGGAAAAACAAACTTCTAGGACCGAAGCTGTTCATCACGAGGAAATCACCAAGAAGCTAACAACAAGGGAATGCGATAGAAGTATTACCCTTCACGGCCGTAGCGAAGGAACAAAAAGCAGCACAAAGCAGGTCACGTTTCCTTAATAGAAAGTCATAATTATTAGTTGGCCTGTAAACTGACAGCAGACAACATTAAATTAGGTTACACACTCGCTGACAGTTGCTGATGTGCCCATATTTGGCCACGGTGTAACATTTAAACAGTAATTCTGGACCCAAACACAAAAATAGATCAGTTCACCAATGGGTGGGGCTGGACATAATATGAAGCTCACCTTCCACAATAGACTGTAATTCATATTTCAATTCACACCCAAAAACACAAGAAAATACTTCTGTGGACCAAATGCTACTTAATGGTGTCGCTGACCTGCTTGCTTTAAGCATTAAAATGAACAGGATTACAATGTAGGCTTTAACATGCCAGACGAGAGGAAGATACACGGTGCAAAAACAGGGGCTGAAGCTCATTTGAATTTGCTCCACTTCAGTCGACAGAGACAGAAGGGTGGCTAGCATAGCTACCACAGTGGCATTTGTTTCCATTTGCATAGACGACCGTTTGTGTCTGTGTTTTGGGCATACTGTTATGCCAACCTACCGTAGGGAAAGGGTTTTAAAAAAAAGGATGCTTTGATGATAAAGACTACAGGCGAGCAGACGATTTACATGTACCAAAAAAAAAAAAAAGGGGGAAAACTGTCATCTCACAAAAGTTTCTAGTCATGAAAGTGTATGCAAAGAGAAATCCATCTCCACATCTAGTCTGTAAATCCTCTGTACCATAACCAGCCAAACATAGATCACGTGACTTCACATCAAGATATTTAATTTCGACTTTTAACTTCTATCTAAAAACGTCAACAGTAAATTACATGATTCCACGTCAACAAACAAAAACCATACAGGAACGAATCCACCCCTTAATCGCTTCGAAGAGACGGCAACTTCTCCACCAACAGCACCTTTAAAAAGACCATGATGCAGTGCGACCATAGCTATGTTGCTTGTCGCCTTCCTATTTGACTAACCAGACACAGCACACCACAACATTGTTCTCTCTCTCGGGCTCCCTTTTCACGACTGGAAAAATCTAACTACGCTCTCACGTCACATTTCCATGGTCGCCAGTAAATTCATGGTGTGTAAAGATTGTCATATTGTTTTCAGTAAGGTGCATCATATGACAAGGTTATGTTGAAAGGGATGATTGTACTGTGGAAAATTGAGACCCAAAGCGATTAGTTGAAGAATTGTTTTAGTAGATTGTGAGAAAAACTATTTTGATAATCAATTAATTGTGTGAGCAATTTTTCAAGCAATTGACTGCAGGTAATTCTAACAGAAACAACAAGACATAAAAGATATCACCATCGGCTCTGGGACTTTGGTATTGAGAAAACTTTTATCAGATAAGTTGATAATAAAAATAATCTTTAGCTGCAGCCCTAGTAAAAACTTACATAATGGTACAACCAAAGCTACTACCATCACTCTCTCCGCCCAGGGTCCAAAATTAACTTCTTCAGGCTCATCTACCAATGAGTAAAATGACCGGCCATAAAACTGCATCAGAGGGCACCTCTCGCAAAAACACCGACCTCCATACGCAGACATATAATAGTAGTAAGATGCTTTAATTTGATGGGTACAGGTACATAAACCTGGTTCTATGCCGTGATTCCAGGTGTTAATTAAAACCCTGTCTCCGCCTACATGTGCTGCTGGAAAAAGTAGGAAGTTAAAGACTATTGTCTACTTCTTCTTCCCATCTGTGGCAATAACTTATCACAAAACAGCTACTGAAACAGATTGAGACGTGCACCGAAGATCATGTTAAACCAGAAAAGGGGTTTCCGTGTAACGTTGGAGTTCAAAGCGAATGACATCACCATGAGTTCACCTCTCCAAAAACAGTTTCCAGGTAAAACATACTTCCACATTTCACACCGGCGCCAACAGGTGAAAAGCCACAGGTTACTGATTGGCCGTGTTCTTGCGTGCTGTATTGGATATCATGCCTGGTGGCACTAAGTGACAATGTAGTGGTGACACTGACGGCACAAGTGAAGCCCGAGACCGATGACAAGCACAGACACTCCAAACAGAGCCATGTTGTTCCCTTTGGCCCCGGCCAGGCCTGGGAACTCAACGCCGGCTCTCCCCATGGCCCCGGCCCCTCACACAACACAACATCACAGCAGCACAGGCTAACCGCTGCCCTGTTAACACTCTCACTGTGGGACCCTGTCAGGAAATTAACACCCAAAATCCTTTTTAAATGGATATTCTTGTGATGTAGCATTAAATAAAAAAGGTTGCTCAGAAGGAAGCTGGGAAACGTCACGCTGAAGATGTAAGCCAGCGAGTCAAAAACAAATTCCACTTTAAAAAGGACAAAGCAGTGATGGCATGGATATGACCTTGTGTCATATTGTGGAGAGATAAAACATATATATGGTGAACTACTGCAAACTTCATACAAGATAAAGAAAAAACAAAGATATAAGAGGAAGGGGCTACTAATTACTTTCATTATTAACAAAAAGAAGAGTGAAAAATACCATAATCAACACTTCAACACTTCCAAACTCAAAGATATTCAGTTTACAATGATATAAAACAGATATGCAGCAAATCCGCACACTGGCAGACGCTGTAACTTGAATCTTTGGATTTTTTTTGTTGCTTGAAAAATGACTTTAACAGTTAATCTGCAATCAAAACAGTTGCTGATTGTGTTTCGGCCGTTCAACAAACCAACTTTTCTACGTTAAAAGTTTAAACTTAAAAAAGTAAATAGGGATCACTGTCAACTCCAATACAACCAACAGCAAAAGGGCTGATCAATACACCAAAAGGAGATTAACCCTGTACTAGATTCATACATAATAGCATGTTAATACTTTAGGTTGTTTCCCATAAAAGCCCAAAAATGATCAAACCTCCAAAAAGTCTACAGCCCTGTATCAATGTGTCATTCCTGTTTTGAGGTGCTGCACAGCCGGTATTCAAACAAGGAACACTTTCAAACTTATATAAAACATTATCTACATTTCCAACACATGACCTCGCGCTATTGAATGGCTGAAAAAAAAAAAATATCCCATGTGCTCCAACTTGCATTCGAATCCACATACAGTACATCTGCTCCGGCTACAAAAGGTGGGAGGAGGAGGGGGGGGGAGCAAACCTTTAACAAGCACCTTAATCAACTAACTGTTGATTTCACAGACGTTATTTGACATTTCCATTAATAACTTCACATCTCTAAAAGGGAAAAAAACAATGCCCTCAGATTTGGTTTGTTAAAAAGAGCCCACCACTTCATTAAAGTAGCATTAGGGTCCTGCTATATACTGACAACCCTGAGCTACATCATCTACATTGTTGGCCATAGAGGCTCATAAAGACAGCAAACACTCCAACACAAACACACATATGTACTATACCAGCCCATGTTACTGAGTCTCTCTCACTCACACACACACACACACCCATAAACTTTATGAAAAGTCTTACCTGTGAGTAGTCAAAGTCAGAGAGAGGTGCTATGCTTTTGATGTATTCGATTCTGAATTGGTCCTCTGGGTTGGCTAGCGGGACTGGGGGTATTAAAGTGCTCATCGCAGACACTATAGTCTACAAAGCAGAAGTTGTGGGAGAAAAAAACAAAACAAAACAAGCATTAAGCAGGATGAATACGGGAAAAAATAAATATAAAAAAATCCGTAAGCCTGTATAATAATCAGTTAAATGGGATTGCTGTGGGAGTCAGTGTAACAACAGAGACATTTGGGAAGCAATACCGGTGACACTCACCACTATGGCATCCTTCACGTTTTTCCGAATATCTTGGATTTTCTGTTTCTTTTCTCTGCATGGGTGGGGGGGGGCACAGAATAGATGTGTGAGACAGTCGCTTTTACAAAAACATCAACCACAGCAGACCACAAAAGATTTAACATCAAGGTGGTTTTAAGTAAGACAGAGGTTACTGCCAGATTAGACTGTATTCTAATACAATTATACATACAGTACAGGTGTTAGCTGGGGAGTATGTACCTGGGGTGGGGGGGGGCAGGTTAACTGTGAGATGCAGGATGGGGGTTCAGTAAAAATGTAAAAGTAAAAAGGATATAATGCGCTGTAGTCAAGATTTAGCTCGTTATACATCCTAAAAATGCTAAATTATGCCTCCTATCATCTAAATAAAAACCCCAGCCTCCTTTGGGTTAAAACACCTTAAACTGACACATACAGAGGATTTTTTTAAACAGTTGCAGGACTCTTGACATGTACTAGGCCTGTTTAAAATAGACCACTGGTAAGATCAATGCCATGCAAGGCCTTGCAGCAAAACAAATCATCAATAGGCCTGTGTCGATCACAACCTTTCACCCTCTCACATGAAACAGGAAACAGTGAATTATTCGCTATCTGTGTGACACTGAGTTCCTCACATATGTATGATAACTGTACATGTGCAAAAAAAAAAAAAAAAGGAGGAAAAAGAGAAAGGAGGAGGAGGAAGAGGAGGAGGAGGAGGGGAGAGATATATATTAGCTGCTTTGCATGGGATACTGGGCCCAACAGGCGCTGCAGTGCCTGGGGAAAATCCATTCACAGGCTATATACTCTGGCCTCGGCAGTGCTACTCATGTTGGGAGGATAAGCTCCTTAAAATAAAAGGAAATGTATTTTTAATTTAAAAAAAAAAAAAAGCATTAATATACATTTAGAGCCGTTAACGTGGCTGTTTTTAATGAGTGTATTTGAACAGCTACTCACTCCGCGTTGAAGCCGTTGACGTGTAGGATCCTCATCTGCTTCACAATGGTGCTTTTTCCGGACTCTCCCGCACCTTCGACACAAAAAATAGACCCAGACAAACAAACAGAAAACAAACAAAAAAAAAAAAATAATACATTAAAAAAAAAATAAAGAAATACAGAGAAAAATACCACCATGAAGAAGGAGAAGAAAAAGGGAGGAGAAGAAGGGGAGGAGGAGGAGGAGGAGGGAGGGGGGGGGGGTGAGGTAGAGAGAGGAGGAAGGATAGCGTTTTTAAAAACAACAAACAAAACAAAAACAACAACAAAAAAAATAATCCATAAATGTTTTTAGGTAAATGAATAAACTGTAAGTCTTACGGAGCTTCCATCAATATCCACCCCCATGACATATTATTGCAAGCGCTGTCAAACGGGGCTAACGTTACGTGTTACGGTAAAAACGAAAGGGATTTACAACACACACACACACACAGATATAAATATATATATATGTAACATAAAAATACAGCCTTACCCAGTAATAAGAGCCTGTGTGTGGCTTTATACGCCTGTCTTTCCTTTTGCAACTGTTTTTCTATCTTTTTATTAGCCTCTCGTTGTGCCTTTTCGTCGATGCGTTGATCTTCAGTCTTGCTGTTGCCCAAACAACCCATCTTCCGTCGCCCTAACCCTTCCTTGTGGAGCCGTTAAAAAATATATTTATATATATAAAAAAATAATAAAAAATAATATTAATAACACCCGATTTGATATTGTGTCGGGGGTTTCTTTTTAAAAAAAAAAAAAAAAAAAAAAAAAAAAAAAACAGGAACGAGTCCGCTGTAAAATAAAAAATATATATTTAAAAAAAATTAAAAAAAAGGGGGGAGAGCGAGAGAGAGAGAGAAATCTCTGCGAGGCTTCTCCGTCGTCGGGAGGAATATCTTCCCCCGTTACAATTCCGCTTTAGCCGCAGCCGACCGTCATCCAAACCGTTGGTTAGTTCTCACACACACACACACATACACACACAACACACACATACACACACATACATACACACACACAAAAAAAAAAACCCCCGACGAAGAATAAACGGCTCGATTCTTGACGACGAGATATCAAAAATACATATAAATAAGAAGAAGGAGGAGAGAGAGAGAGGGTTTTTCAATTTCTGGGAATCCAGTCAACTGTTCCTATCGCGTCTCCAACCCCTCTCTTCTCTCAGTATTTTTTTTTTTTTTTTTCTATCTGAATTTCTATCAGTATTTTCTGTCTCTTTAACTCAGCACTGCCTCTCTCTGTGGCACCAGGAAGTAACCGGGGGAACCAATGGAGGTGGAAAAATAAAAAAATAAAATAAAATAAAAAAACAAGAAGCTGGCGTTAAACTGTAACGTTAACGAGCTCTTTTACACCGATAAAGCGGTTCTTCTTTTTCTTCCTTTTTTTAATTTTATTTTATAACCCGTGTGTGGCGAAAAAGGGAGAAAGAAGCGGCGCCATTCCCCGTTTTTAGTTTTGTAGTCCTTTTCCGCTCTTCTGCCATCTAACTTAAACGGCAACACACACCAATAAAACACACACAGCAGAAGAAGAAGAAGAGGAAGGAGAAGAAGAAGAAGAAGAGAAAAGTGGGCGGAAACCCGGACGCCAGAGGGGCTGGGTCTCTTTCTTCTTCTGGTGCTGCTTCTTGTTGCTGGCTGTGGAGGGTGGCCCTGACCCAAACTGGCAACCCATTTTACTGCGTGTGTGTGTGTGCGTGTGTGTGCGTGTGTGTGCGTGTGTGTGCGTGCTTTACCTACCTCTACACCACGGATTACTACTCCTGCCTGCACTAGAGTGGAGGAAGTTGACTGCACTAGAGTGGAGGAAGTTGACTGCACTAGAGTGGAGGAAGTCACTCTGCTGTTTAAATTCACATTTATTTTAAATATTTAAGCAATTAAATGAATGAATACTGTCTGTTGTTGTTTTAAAAGCATTTTTCATTTATAATCCTATTTTTTTTTAAAGATGTATATTGAATATTATTTTTAAAATAAACTATTTAAATTTACATTTATTTATAAATACTGTATATTTGCTTGTTATTGTTGTTGCTTTGCCATGTTTTAAAAGCAAATCTAGCTACTTTTATATGCAGTGTTGGGCGTTTTCATTTATAATTCATTTATATAAAGATATATATTGAATATAATGATCATATATATACAATATTTTTCTCTAAAATGTTCTATATCCAGAGATATACAATTTCTTAAGTAAAAGTACAAAGATTTAAGTAATTAAATGAATAAATACTGTATATTTGCTTGTTATTGTTGTTGCTTTGCCATGTTTTAAAAGCATTTTCCATTTATAATCCTATTTTTTTAAAGATATATATATTAAATACAATTTTAAAACATTATTATATATAAAATATATACATTATATATTATTTTTCTGGAGTAGAAAAAAACGTGACACTATTTCATTTTCTGATGTACAGTAAAACAGTGGTGGGATGTAACTAAGTACATGTACTCAGTTACTGTAACATTATGTAACTAACTGTAACTATTCTGCTTAATTTAAAGGTTAGAAACCGGACATCTCTCCCTACTGGGTCTCTTCTTCTTGGCTTCCTGTCTATGGAGGTGGCCTCGACCCAAACTGGCAACCCATTTCACTGTGTGTGTGTGTGTGTGTGTGTGTGTGTGTGTGTGTGTGTGTGTGTGTGTGTGCGCGCACTGGGCTTTACCTACCTCTGTAGCTTACACACTTACATCAGTGGTTCCCACCCTTTTTACTTTAAGGGACCCCTTTTCTGTCATTGAGTGACATATTTTATGGATATTTTTCATATTATATTAAAAACTGTACAATGAACCCAAACAGTGAACTCAAGAAGTTTGTGTAAAACGAGTGATTTGGATGAATTCTGAGCAGATTATTTCCATTTCAGGGACATTTTTACACAATTCTCTGTCTGTATTATGTATTTTATTATAATTGTGAACATCTTTTTTGACAAATTCAGTGTTTTCCCGCACTGTACTTTACAGAAGTGAGTCCAATGCTGAGGTATAGGCCTACTGTGTATATAGTTTCAAAGTTCTCTTACACCCCTTAAAATCAAGAAGGCCTTGTGACCCCGTGGTGAAGCTTTGGTGACCCTATAGTGAGGGTCCCGACCCCCAGGTTGGTACCCACTGCACTACATCATAAACTACTACTGTAGTACAAGGTGGAGGAAGTACTCAAATGGAAGCAGTAACATCACAATTTAAAAATACTAGTAGAGTAAAAGTACAAAGATATAAGCAATTAAATTAACTTAAAGTAACAAAAGTAAAAGTACCCATTGTGCAGAATGGCCCCTTTATAAGTTTATACTGTATTATTATACATATTTGATTATTATTGTTGTTGCATTGCCATGTTTTAAAAGCAAATTTAACTACTTTATAAATAGTGTTGGGCCTTTTTATCCATATCATACAGTCACTAAAGTACAGTACAAATACTGTAAATGTACTTAATGTCCTCAATGTACTTTATATACAGTAAAGTAGAGGTGGGATGTAACTAAGTACATGTACTTTATTAAGTACAATTTTAAGGTTCTTGCTTTTTACTTGAGTATTGTTATGTTACGCTACTTTATATTTCCACTCGACTACAATTACAGAGTAAAATCATTTATAATTTGTAGATTTATATTTTACATCTTATAAAATATGATTATTTATTAGAGATTAAACTGCCCAACAGTATATCAAATAGTTAAAACTACAACAGTAAAATTTCACATGAATGCATCAGTCAATACTATAACGAGTGCATTTTGCTAATAAACTTTTACTTATTATCAATCAAGGACTTTTACTTGTAATGGAGTATTTCTATAGAGTCTAAATACACCACTGAGTAAAAGTAGTAATACCACTCATGTCATAAACCAGTGGAAGAAAGAGGCCAAGTGTTTATTCAAGTATAATTTTAAGGTACTTGGATTTATAAATTAGTGATTTTATTTTATAGAAGTTTATACTTTCACTCCTCTAAGATTCAGAGGCAACTATTGTACTTTTTACTTTGCAGATAAAGATTTTAACATACGATGATCTTACGAAATATCCTGCTTTGTTTTACAATGAACCACAATGTGGCATCAGTTCCTTTGGGATTAATAAATCGGATATAACATACAGTAATATAACTGACAGAGGTCACTCTGGTGCATGAGTACCTCTACAAAAGATAAAACAACATATTATTTCTAGTTTTTATTTATGTTATCTTTCATATTTGTTCTTGTGAATTCAGGATCATCTTCAAATTATTCAAAATAAACTATTTAAGAAGGAGGAATCACATATTGGTTGGACTGCTGCTCATAACATGTATACATATACAGTGATAAGTGGGGGCAAGTAGACACGTGGATTGGATTAAAAATCTGTTTATGTGCCCTCGAGCAAGACGGAGAGATCCACAAAACTGCCCCCTTTTGCATGATTTATAAGTATAGTAACAGTATATCATCTTATTGCATTATTGTGGTGATACTATAGGAAATAATCAGTCTGATTATGTAACTACAAACTCATCATGAAGCATGCCACGACACACTGTTGGGTAGTACAAGAATATTACAGTGACACCATTAATGATAAGGGTTCACAAAGAAGAGCACACTATCAACCCCACACTGATGTTTTCTTAAGGAAATAAGTGCAACATGCCAACTATGACATAAATTAACGTAACACTAGAGACCAAACACAGGGTGAAAGACAGTTATATGCACCTAACTGTACAGTGACAGACAATATCACAACAACTGAACTCTGGCAGTGCAAGTCACGCTTTTGCCAATAAGGAGGAAATAGAAAGAACTGTCACTGTTGTGAGCATTGTCTGACATTTATGTTTAGCTTGCTGTGGCTTCCTCTTCACTCGCCCCGACATGGAGTGTGGGTTTTGTAAAGGTTTGACTTTTTCACCAACAAACCCTGCACGTCACATGTTAGAGCACCGTTGTGTTTGTCTGCAGGTAACAGCAGCAGCAGATATTTTCGTTTCAGTATGTGTGCCTGTGTGAGGCAGAGGAAGTGTTTTTCATTCAAGAGCTACTAGTGAAACTTAGCAGGCCCTGTCCTAGCATTGAGCTAACATACAGTGCAGCACTATCCTGCTGCATTCAAGTCAGATATATATATATAAAAAAGGATTAAAAATGTACTTTATGCTTCTATTACAAACGCTCATAGATCACTCAAAAGGCTTGAGGCAATCATGAATGATTATGTGTGTAATATGTAACAAGGAGTGTGCTGTTATTATGCAAAATGCAATGCAAATACTTGTTTCATGTAGTGACACGAGTGCAACAAACTTGTGCAGCATGCAAATCACCACTGGAACCCTCGCTTCACCTATATTAGTGTGAATATGTTACAGCACCACACACCCACCCACCCTCACTAAAGAGGAAAAAGAAAAAGTCCTGCCTCCCCACCTTTGAATGCAAGGTCAAAACAAGTGACTGGCCCACACCACTCTCTAGTGGTTAGAGGCAGCACAGCACTCACGCTGAGGCTCCATACGAATGATACACAATCAGGTTTTGTTGCATAAATTATCAGATTTTTTTAGGTAGTGATATCTGATATTTATGTTTAGTTTGCTGTGGCTTCCTCTGAACTATATTACAACAGTCATGTTAAATCCAGTGTTACTTCAATTTAGGTTTCACTGTGCAGAGTTTGATGCTTGACAGCTGGTTTCAAATGAAGGGGGGGGAGTTTCTTCATGCTATCCTTAAATCTCAGTTTAAGACAGAGGGAGGCAGAGAGCCACGGCAGGGAGGTCGTGGATGACCAGGGGAGAAATATGGAGTGAAACCATGTTGAATTAATATGATTTATGTGGGAAAATAAACAAAAAATAATAGTTTGCTGATGTTTATTTCACTAAAATTCAACATGAACTCTTTTTTTATGAACTGCTTCTCTTCAATATCACATTAATGATTGATAAAAACTGTAGGGTGAGAGGCATGAACCTTTTTTTTTAGTTTCTGAAGGGAGTAAAGTTTAACGACCACTGGTTTCAGATGTGGACGTTTGAGCATGATTTTGTGATATTACAACTTGTTACAGGGTTGTTGGCACGCCATAACGTCTGATCTGTCCCACCAGACGTTTCTAGGAAAAAACTATTAATCAGTGTTTAAATTTATTTATTTTTTGTGAGGTGAAAATGCTCTTTAAATATGTATCTAATATATTTTCTATAATCTGATCTGCTAATCTGTTCCTGGTACCATTTTGCATCCTAACAACCCAATACAATAGGTGTTGGCTTTTGGCCCGTGGCCCACCATTAAGTTTTATTTTTGGCCCTTCAAAGGAAAAAGTTTGGGCACATCTGATCACTGACACACACTGAGCATTTCCTTTTAAGCAACTAGGAGACATCTTGTGTCCACTAGTTAAACTTTTGAAATGAAAACGTCTTTTTCTTTCACACAAATTAT